AAAGGAGCTGGAAAGGCAAGATCACTTGCCTCCTAACCTCAGCAGAAGAATCCATATCACCAAGATAAAATTAGAGTTACAGGACATAGAAGGTGAAATATCATAGAGAGAATCAGCAAGACCAAAAACTAGTTCTTTGCAAAGATAAATAAGATTGATGGTCCCACATGGGCTCAGCACTTAGGGAGGCTGAGGCAAATGGATTGCCTGAGCCCATGGGTTCAAGAACAACCCAGGCAACTTGGTGAGACCTTGTCACTACAATAAATCATCATAATAAAAAAAATTAGCTGGGCATGGTAGTGCATGCCTGTAGTTCCAGTTACTTGGATGGCTGAGGCAGAAGGATTGCCTGAGCCCAGTAGGTCAATGCTAGGGTGGCCGTGAGTGTGCCCTGCCCTCCAGCCTGGGCGACTGAGTGAGACTCCAACTCAAAAAAAAAAAAAAAAGATCGATTGTCCCCTGGCCAGGTTGACTGATAGAAAAGAGAGAGAAACCCCAGATAAACACAATTAGAAATGCAAAAGGTGAAGTTACAATTGACCCTAAAGATATTCAAAAGATTATCAGAGATTACTACAAAAACCTGTATGCAAATAAACTAGAAAACCTAAAGGAAATAGAGCACTTATTGACATCACATAACCTCCCAAGGTGGAAACAAGAAAAAATTGAAACTCTAAACAGACCAATAGCAATCCAAGAAATCACCTCAGTCATAAGAAATCTAAATACCAAAAAAAGTCCTCGACCTGATGGCTTCCTGGTTGAATTTCACAAGATACACAAGAAGGAGTGATACCAATCTTTCTGAAAGTATTCTAGGCAATAGAGAAAGATGGAATACTTCCCAACTCATTTTATGAAGCCAACATTATATTGATATCCAAACCTGGCAAAGACCCAACAAGGAAAGAGAATTACAGACCAATCTCCTTGATGAATACAGACGCAAACATTCTCTACAGTATTCTATCAAATTGGATCCAACAACACATCTCAAGCATTATCCACCATCACCAGGTGGGCTTCATTTCTGGGATGCAGGGATAGTTCAATATTCACAAGATCATAAACATAATAAGGACACAAAGAGATGATAAAAAGAACCTCATGATTATATCATTAGATGCAGAAAAAGCATTTATCAAAATCCAGCATTCCTTCTTGAATAAAAACCCTTGAGTACCTAGACATAGAAGGAACATTTTCAAAATAACAAGAACCATTTATGATAAACCCACAACCAAAATACTGCTCAATGGACAGAAATTGGAAGCATTCCTCCTAAGAATGGGAATTAGACAAGGATGTCCATGCTTCTCCCTCCTGTTCAAAATAATATTGTAAGTCCTTGCTAAAGCAATCAGGCAAGAGAAAGAAATCAAGGATATTCAATAGGAAAAGAGGGAGTTAAGTTATCCCTCTTTGCAGATGACATGATTCCATATCTTGAAAACCCTAGGTAGTCTGTCAAAACCCTCTTCACACTCATAATTGATTTTGGTAAAGTCTTGCAGTGCAAAATCAATATGCAAAAGATAGTTGCATTTCTATACACCAACTACAAGTACACAGAGTGCCAAATAAAAAACACAATCCCATTCACAATAGCCATAAAAAAGTAAAATACCTTGGTACCCACCTAACCAGAGAAGTGAAAGACCTTTACAATGAGAACTACAAAATGCTGCTCAAAGAAATCAAGGATGACACAAACAAATGGAAAACATTCCATGCTCATGGATTGGAAGAATAAATATTGTCAAGATGTCCATCCTACACAAGGCAATTTAGAGATTCAATGCAATACAAATCAAATTACGAGCTTCATTTTTTTTTCAGATCTGGAAATGACAATACAGAAATTCATATGGAAATAGGAAAGAACATGCATAGCCAAAATAATCCTCAGCAAAAGTAACAAAGTGCGAGGTATCACACTTCCAGACTTTAAACTTTACTACAAGGCTACAGTAAACATCCTGGTTTTGGTCCAAGAATAAGTACACAGACCAATGGAACAGGACAGAGATTATGGATGCAAAATCTCAATCTCTCAGCCAACTCATCTTTGACAAAGCCACCAATAACAACCACTGGGGAAAGGAGACCATATTTAGCAAATTGTTCTGGGCAAAATGGCTGACCACATGCATAAGAATAAACCTGGACCATACTCATCACCATATGCAAAAATCAACTCAAAATGGATCAAAGAACTAAACATAAAACCTGAAACTATAAGAATCCTAGAAGAAAATGTAGGAAACATCTTTATGCACATGGAGTAGGCAACCAATTCTTGACCAAATCCTTGAAAGTGAATGCCATAAAAGGCAAAATCGGCAAGTGGGCCCCAAACAGAAAAGCATTCAGAGCAGAAGAAACCATCAAATGATCAGAGAGACAACCAACGGAATAGGAAAATTTTTTTCCTAATTTTATATCTGACAAAGGCCTATCATCCAGAATCTACAAGGAATGCAACAAGCTGAAAGGGAAAAACAAAGAACCCTATTGGGAAGTGGGCAAAGGACATGAATAGATAAGTTTCAAAAGGAGAGTTATGAGCAGCCAACAGATACATGAAAAAATGCTCAGTCTCAATAATCATCAGAGAAATTCCAATAAAAACCCCAATGAGATACCACCTAACTCCTGTAAGGATAGCCATCATTAATAAATAAAAAAACAACAAATGCTGGTGAGGCTGTGGAGAAAAAAAACACTTCTACATTGTTGGTTGGCGTGCAGACTAGTTCATCCTCTATGGGAAGCAGTATGGTGATTATGAAAACTAAAAGTTGACCTTCCATTCAACCCAGCAATACCTCTCCTGGGAACATACCTGGAGGAACATAAATCATTCTACCAAAAAAGCAGCTGCACAACATGTTTACAGCTGCACTATTCACACTAGCAAAACACATAGAACCAACTCTACTGTCCATCAAAAGTGGACTGGATGAAAAAAATGTGGTATATATATATACAATGGAGTATTACACAGCCATAAAGAAGAACAAAACCATGGATTTCACCAAATTGGATGAAGTTGGAGACCATCACACTTAGTGATCTGTCACAGAAACAAAGAACTGAATGCCACAGGTTCTCACTCCTAAGTGAGACCTGAACTTTGATCACATTAGTGCAAGGGAGGGATTGGCAGTCACTGCACACTGCCAGGGCACATACGTAACAACACAAAGAGTACCTGGTTGTAAACCAGGGGAAGTGAGTACTGGCTGGAGGCCCAAACTTCAATTGCACGCAGCCTATTGGTGTAGCTAATCCTGACTTGTAACCTACATCTGTATAATAAAGTAGAATACAACAAATAAAATATTAAAAACAGCGAGGCCTGCACCTCTGAAACTACAGGAAGAAAACATAGGGGAAATATTTCAGGTTTAGGACATTGGTGTGGGCAAAGATTTTATAGAGAATACTTCAAAAGCACAGAAAACAAAAGCAAAAGACAAGTGGAATTAGTGCAACCTAAAAATCTTCTACATAGCAAAGGAAACTATCAGCACAGTGAAGAGAGAACTAGCAGAATAGGAGAAGATATTTGCAAACTGTTTATTGAATAAGGAATTAATATTCAGAATACACAAGGAACTCAAATAACTCAAGTTTAAAAAATCAAGTAATATGATTTAAAAATGGGTAAATGATCTGACTAGACATCTCTCAAAAGAAGACATACAAATGGCTAACAAGTATATGAAAAAATACTCTACATCGTTACTCATCAGAAAAATCCCAATTAAACCACAATGAGATATAATTTCACCCCAGTTAAAATAGTCATTATCAGAAGGACAAAACAAAACAAACAAAACAAAACAAAACAAATGCTGGCAAGGATGCAGACAAAGAGAAACTCCTGTTTACTCATGGTAGAAATGTAAATTAGTAAAGCCATTATAAAAACAGTCTGAATGCTCCTCAAAAAACTAAAAATAGAACTTCTATATGATCTAGCAATTCCACTGCTGGGTATATACCCAAAGAAAAGGAAATCAGTATGTCAAAGAGACATCTGCACTCCCATGTTTACTGCAGCACTATTCACAATGATCAAAACATGAAGTCAGTCTAAAAGTCCATCAATAGATGAATGGATAAAGAAAATGTAGAATAGAGTAGTAAAAATAGAATACCACTTAGCCATAAAAAGAACAAAATTTTTCATTTGCAGCAACATAGGTGAGTTTGGAAGACATTATGTTAAGTAAGATGAGCCAGGCCCAAAAAGGCAAATATTGCACATTCCCACACATATGTGAAAGCTACAATAGTAGATATCCTAGAAATAGTAGAAGAGTGATTACTACAAGCTCGGAAGGGCAGGGTAGAGATGGGGATAGCCACAGATTGGTTAAGAGATACAAAATTACAGCTAGATTGAAGGGATAAATTCTGGTGATCTCATAGAATTTTAGGGTAGAATGATAATGATCAGATACTAAAGAAAATGGGAGTAGGGGAAATGGGAAAAGGTTGGTCAGCAGGTACAAAGTTAGAAAGAAGGTCTAAGTTCTGGTACTGTGTTACACAATTGGGTGACTATAGCTAAAAACGATGCTTTATATATTTCAAATGGCTCGAAGAGAGAATTTTGAATGTCCTTACAACAAAGAAACACTATATGCTTAAGGTGTATCCCATAAATATATACAGTATGACATGTTAATAAAAAAACATAAAAATCTATATATGCACAGAAAATGTCGGTAAGAACATAAATCACATTAATAATGATGAATCTCTTAAGGAGTGAGAGTTATGGATGAGTATAGTTTCTTTTATCTAGTTTACAGTTTGTAAGTTTTGACAGATATCACTTTTGTAATGTAAAAAAACCCTAAAAATAAAAAAAGTCAAGCAAATGATGGTACAATCACATGACTGTTAAGTACATTAACTGATGTCAGAATATGCTTGAACAACCCTGGTTTAGGATGAACTGCCTTTCCAGGGTCTTGTACCTTTCAGGGTGGAACTCCTCAGGCTCTGTCCCGTACTGTGGGTCTTGATGAAGAGCATAGATTGGCAACATCACCACTGCCCCTTTGGGAATGAACACTCTATTGATTTCAATATCTTTCTTACAGACCCTCTCAACTCTGACTGCAACTGGGTGCAAGCTGAGAGCTTCATTCACCACCATGTCAAGATATTCCATCTGTCCTAAGGCATCGTAGATGGCAGGTGCCTGGGAAGAAAGAAACAGGTTGGGATAAATTGAGATTTGGAATTAACATCCAGCCCAGTCGTGCAGTACTCCCGAAGTATTAGGAGCTCCAGAGAATAACCCATATTGGTAAAAGATCTTAGCATTTATAAAGCAGTTTAATAGCTATCATGTCTTTTGATCTTTTCAGTGGTCCACTGAGATGTCTGGAGGAGTTATAAATTTGGAACAATTTGGGACAATTCTCTCCCCAGGGAGTGGAATACTTAGCATTAACAGGTAGTTTTTTCTTTCTCATGTGAACAAATGTGACTAATAGATTATGACCATTAGAATCAAGTAAAGTTTGCCAAAGTCACTGACACCTTTCAAGAGAGGCCATATGTCTGTATCTAGGGAAGAGAACATGTAAAAGAGCAAGTTCCCTGTTCCACATAAAGCTTTTTTTTTGAAAATTTTGCTTGGTGTCTCTCTCTCTCATATATCTGTCTGTCTGTCTATCTATCTATCTATCTATCATCTATCTGTCTGTCTATCTATCTAAATATATAGTGTAGAGAAACGCTATACTATATAAATACTCTATAAATAATTTGTGGATAAACTAGCTCCTTTTAATCCTAAATATGGTAAAGGAAATTTATGATCAGAGGATACTGGGGCATGCCATTTCAGTTCTAGTGAAAGTTATGAGGAGGATAGAAACCCCATACTCAGTCCCTTCCTTTATTGCTGGAACAGTCTCCTACTTGTTGCTTCAGGGCTTGGCTTTAGGCTCTGAAGATCTCTCTGTGTACACCTCACTGCCAAACCAGGGTCAGCCCCAGAGGCCATCTCTTCACACCACAAAAGATTCCAGTTTTGGCAGAAATCCCAAAAGTGTGGCTGATATGTAGCTAACATTTGATGATATATTTGGGAGGTGATATTGTAGAGGTTAAGAGTTTGGTCCAAGAGTCAGACATCCTGTTTCCTTGCTTGGCTTCTTTACCATTAGCTGCATGACTGAAGTCTGAGGCAGCGGTGGAACAAAGCCGAGTCAGCCTGCCCAGTGTACTCAAGGCCAGGTTTGATCAGAAAATGGCCATACCAGAGTAAGTCCAGCCAATATCAGCAAAGCTAACTACCCAGACACTTGAGCAATAAATGCTTATTGTTAGATGCCACTGAGGTTTTCTGGATTTTTTTTTTTACTTAGTATTATTGTGGTAACAGATAATGGATGCATGAGAACAGCACTGTTTTACGAGGACCTTACAGTTCTGTGAGAAGCACTCATTATCTGTGTTTTCTCCCTTTGTCACTTTGGAGTCTTCCTACATAGTGTTGGTGAACGAGTTGATGTTTACACTTATTTGCAAAAATTCCCCTGAGAAGAGATGAGGAGGCATTCTTGCTAAGGTCTCAGGTCCTCTCTCCCTCTCCAGGGACCATCCACTTACCTTATTGGGAAAAACTGCATCAATCTCCTCTTGTAGTTTCTTCTGGATATCAGAGTGAGTGGCTAGTTCATATGTAATGAAGGAAAAGCAATGGTAGTGGTCTCATAAGCACCCAAAATAATGGCAATTGATTGGGCCATGAGTTCCAGATCAGACAGACCTGCAAGGAGAGGAAAGACAATTTAGGAAAAGCAGGTCAATGTAGAACATCACAGTTTAGGTGCTTAGTAATCCACATGAAGCTCCCAAATCCCTCAGAAATGAAACGTTAAAGTATTTCAGGGTCATACTGGTGGTGGTTTTCACTCTGATGTCCAAACTTGTAGAGCTAGAAAAAGGCAAAATTATTTCAATCCAGTGTTTCCCAAGGCCTACAGGATTGTGGGGCATTCACTCCTCATCATACCAAACCCCACTCCAGCATAGCTGGGTAATTTCCAGAGAAGATATTCTGTCTACACATACTCAGTGTTATGGGCCTGGCCTTTGAATGGTCATGAGAGTGCTTTAGCTATAGGTAAAATATGGGCTAGCATTTTCCCCAGGAAACATTTAAATTTTTCTAGCCATGATGTAGCTTGGCAAACTGTGAGAGAGTTTGCCACGCTAAGACTTAACTGTAGAAAAAAAATAAGGATCTTTCCTATAAACATGTTTGAGGGAACTTAAGGGAATAATATTGGGCTACAGATAACCTCTTGCTCCTCAAAGTGTGGTCCTTGGACCAGTAGCATCATGGGCGTCTGGGAACTTGTTAGAGATGTGGAATCCCAAACCCTACTCTCAAACTAACAAATCAAAACCTGAACTTTCTTTTTTTCCCCCATCTTTTAAATTTATTTATTTATTCTAAAGATATGGGGTACAATTCAGGGTTAGGTATATAAACACTGATCATACAGGTACCCTTGTTGATGAGGCATGTCCCTCCCTCCCCTAGCAGTTTCGCTCAACTGCCAGTCCCACCCCTTCCTCCTCTGACAGTTTTCCACTACTGCCAATTGCTTTCTTATAGCATTATAATTGTTTTCCATCTTTTTAAAATTGAACCTGACCGTTATCTTTATTCTGGGGACCTGGCGGCTGGCATACATGCAGTGACAGTTTACATGTCCTGGACTTGAGAGCCGCTCTAGCCCTGGGTGTAAGGAACATCTTCCTTTCTGCTTGAATCTCCTCTCTCTGGCCTTGCCTGGAAGCCTCTGGAGTGGATATAAAGACTGGATTGCCAAACTACACAGATGTGAAGGGGAAGAACCAGGTTTAATTAATGTTTTCCTTCAACACCTATCTTCTCCCATTCAGAAATGCGTATGTGGACAAACGTGGCACATCTGGGCTCAAGGAGAATCCAAGCAGGAGGCATTTTGGCTGAAAGCAGGCTAGGGGTCAGGGCTACAGTTTGCTTGAATGCTCTGTTGTATTCACTTGAGTCTGGCTGTCCGTGTCTCTATGGCAAAGCCTGCAAAATTGTGAGCATTCTACCCTGCACAATTACCACTGTCTTGGCTGCCAAAACTTATTTTCCATCCACTTCCGACAGAGGCTTCTGTTTAAATAGAGAGGAGAAGAGAGATGATCTCTTTTCAAAGTGATTCCACTCTGATTCTCGAAGTGCAAGTGGTGAAGTCATCAAGCCTAATTGGAATGAATTGATTTATCCTCTTCAGCAGCCCTGATCAGTACCCTCCCAAGAGACTAGGCTGTAAATGTGAGGTAATCATGGTGATATACATATTTCTTTGGATGCTACTTGGCTAATCCAGTCCATTTTCCATAGATATTATCACTTAAGACAGCTGCTGTTCCTTTGCAGGTCTTAAATTTTTTCAAGAAGAGAAATCTGGTGACTTATGGAATGCTACCAGATTAAAATTGACAGAATGCCACCAGATTAGAATTGACAGAAAAGAGGGGAGATACACTATCTCCTTTAACATTTTTTTTATAAAAGCTTTGTTTTGAGCAACATAGTGAGACCTTGTCTCCACAAAAAATAAAAATAATAATCTGGGTGTGGTAGCACATGTCTGTAGTTTGAGCTACTTGGAAGGCTGAAGTGGAAGGATCACCAGGGCCCAGCAGGTCGAGGTAGCAGTGGCTGGGAGCATACCACTGCACTCCAGCCTGTGTGGCAGAGTGAAACTCTCTCTCTTTTTTTAAAATTTTTTTTGAGTTGGAGTCTCACTCTGTCACTCAGACTGGAGTGCAGTGGTCGCTCCCGGCCACCGCAGCCTCGACCTGCTGGGCTCTGGCGATCCTTCCGCCTCAGCCTTCCGAGTAGCTGGAACTACAGGCATGCGCTACCACGCCCGGCTCATTTTGATTCATTGTAGAGATGAGGTCTCGCCAAGTTGCCCAGGCGGGTCTCAAACCCGCGGGCTCAGGCAATTCACTCACCTCAGCCTCCCAAAGTGCGCATGATTACAGGCTGAGCCACCTAGCCCAACTGGGACTCTCTCTCTTTTAAAAAAAAGTTTTAAAACCTGAACTTTCATGAGATGTGGTGGTTTGTGTGCACAGCCTGGTTCGAAAAAGCATGGATTATATATTTGAAAGGAATCAAGTAATTGAAGATCTAGAATTCAGTTTTGCTAAATGGACTATTTCAGGATGTACAGAACCTACAGAGATAGTAAAAAGCTAGGAGAGTGGTGACAGATTCTTGTGATGCATGGCATTAAAATAGAGGAGACTGTATGATTACAAGCTGTCCTCCCTCCTGATTTTCTCCTGTGAGAAGCTAAGCATGACCAGGCATTAGTTTGTTTGATCAGGACTAGACCAGGACCTTTATATACCTAGGCCCCTGAAATAAATATGATGCCCACCTCAACCATGCAACTCATAACCAAAAATGACATGAATTAAGTGCGGGAAAGGTTTACAGAGTTATAATTTATGAGTGATGGTTACTGTGATGCTGCTGTGTGTAAATTTAACTCTCTAATTCTTTTTTTCATTCACCATGAGCCCCATGATATTGAGTTGGAAATGGACTATAATCTCAGAGTTTAGCACTCTGCTGTCCAATACAATAACCACTAGCAACCATGTGCCTATTTAAATTCAAATTTTAATTAATTAAAATTATGCACAATTAAAAATTCTTCTTCAGTGGCACTAATCACATGTCTGCCACTCAACAGTCACCTATGTCTAGAGGTTAGTGCACTGAATGGTGAAATGACAGACTATTTCCTTTATCACAGAAGATTGTATTGGGACAGATAGATAGATGGATAGAAATCGTTGTAGACATAGATATATTTATAGTGCTATGCTGGAGTTAGCTCATCCCTGTTGTCTAGAACAAACTGTTACATCTTCAGGAATTTTGTGAGATGGTTGACAAATCATTGGTAACTGAAATTGATCTTGGTAGGAGTGTTTATATTCCAGAAGTAGGGTAAAAATCACATTTCTCAGTCTGCGTAAATATATTTTATTTCCTTAGCTTTGTCCACAGAGAGGATTTAAAAGCAAATAAACCCCAGTATCGATGACCACACCTAGCTCCCAGATTTTGATTTCTAAATACAATTTTCTAAGAGTAGAGCTCTTTGGAAATATGGATGATTTTATGCATGGTCAGAGAAAATAGAAGAGAAACTTGGAATATCTTGCACCTGAATGCAAGAAAGTGCTCAAGAAAATGATAATCAAAAGGATACAGGATACCCTATATGTTGTTATAATGGTAAATGCATGTCATTATATATTTCTAAAACTCATATATTGCACAATACCAAGGATAAGCCCTAATGCAAACTATGGAGTTTGGGTGATACTACTGCATACATGTAGATTTATCAGTAGCAACAAATGTACCATCCTGGTGGGAGAAGTTGATAGTGGGAGAGGTTGTGTGTATATAGGGGAAGAGAGCATATGGGAAACCTCTAATATACTTGGCTAAATATTTCTATGAAGCCAAAACTGTTCTAATAAATAATGTCTGTTGCAAAAAAAAAATAAGTAGAAGAATAAAAAAGGACCCAGGAACTCATTCGAACCTGAAAAATTTCATCAAAATAAATAATAATAGGAGAGTAAATTGTTGATATATAAGATCCCTGAAATAAATAAACAAATGAATAGGGAAGAATGGAGCACTCTCCCTTAAAATGAAATACAAGCCCATAAATGTGAAGGAATGATGTAACTAGAAAATCATTATTTTGCAATCATCGTAGCAATAATGGCCTGAGTCAAATACCATTGGTGGATGATGAAACTAGTAGGTGAACGGTTAAACAAGAAGAGGATATTTACACATTTTAAAGTCTTCTCTCCCAAATTGCTTATTAACTGCAAAAAGAAAAATAAAACTTTACAGTAGATTAAGTTAGTGAACACACTTTCAACAAGCATTTCCAGTTAAAATCACCATTTTGGGGACAGTGTGTCTCCTGGTTTGACATTTGAGGCAGAGGTTCTGAGCTAGTGGATTGGGAGGAGGATGAAATTCAGCATTTTTTCTGCTGTCGGCGATCAGTCAGACCACCGACTGATTTCCAGTCAAGATATGCTTGCTTAGGGTGGTGTGTCAAGCTGTGAATATGACCAGGCCTATGTTGCTCCTAGGGAGAACCTCCAGCTACCATTTATAAGGACCAAACACATGTCATTCTGCAATGGGACAGAAATTCTTATCTTCATGGAAAGCTTCCTGCGTACTTCCAGAACAAGCCCCCCCCCATCTTACCCATCAGTAGCCCCCAGAAAAACTCCTTGGTTACCTTTACAGGATTCTGTTTCTTTGGAATTCTGGGTGTCCATCAGCAGCTGAAGGAAATCTCCTCGGTGCTGGAAGTAGAAAGTGAAGTTTCAATGACATAAAATCACCCGTGAAGTCATAAGCAGGAGTGCAGCCCTCAACCTCTGTTCTGAGCATACACTCCCTTTTAGTCTAGAAGTCTGACAGGTGTTGCCTGAGACATCAGTGAATGAAACTGTCCATCAGAAACCTTGGCCAGCAGGATGTTTTTCTGAGAGAAATCCAGCTATTGCGTCCAACTGCTTTTTGATCTTTGCATCCCTGATCCTCAGCTTCTCTGGCTTTAGAGCACAGCTTTGGGGCCAAAGAATTGATGGCCTCTTCTCCTTAGACCGGCTTGCTCAGGAAGAAGTTCTGAATTTCAGTCTTCCTTGTTCTGTTTTAATTCTTAACCAGTGGCCACGTAGATTAATCTCTTGACATGTTCATAGTTCATTAGCAGCTTCTGTGCAAGCATTTTCAAGTACTCTAACCTCCCGGAATTCCATTTCATCGCCAGTGACATCTGGTCACCCAGGCCTGCCGCCCTCACCTGCAGATGTCCTTGGGCTGGCCTTTCGGTTTCATGGAGACAAATCTGAGCCAGCCCGCTTGTAGCCTCAATGATCAGAGAATGCCCCTGCCCACTCAAGGTCACGAGAATGCTGAAATTTAATATATTTTACACTCCAGCAGGTGGCCTGATAGGGCCTTTCATTGGGGAATGGGTAAAATAACAGGCTTGGGTTTGCAAGTATTCTTTCCCCATCTATGATCTGGAGAAATTATAATATCAGTAAAATAATTTTTCTGCAGTAATGTTTATCCTTTGACAATTTATTAAAGGGACAAAGGGAAGGGAAGTGGTGAAATGTTCATCTCAATAATAGTTGTGCCATGACGTACTAATTGTCGTGCCTGTCATTAACTTTTAAATGCTGTCTCTCTCACTCATTCTCATATCTCCTTTCCCAGCCTCCACCTTATTCCTTTCCCTAAAATGTAAAAAAACTCCTGTTTTCAACTAACCTGAAGTTTTTCCTGTAAATAAATATAGAGAAATGCACAGGTCTCGTGTGTGTGTATGTGTGTGAACAAATTGTATATATATATAATTTATAACAACAACAAATTATAAAAAAAAAAAGCATCCTTATGTAGCCACCACCAGATTTTACCTTTTGTTTATCATTGAGGCGACTTTCTTTTATCCTTTCTATGGCTTGTTTAAAAAAATTTGTAGCATTTTTTTGAAAGCAAGAGATGTTTAATGCCTCACAAATTGGAGTAAGAAATGGAAGGAATGCTATAGGGAAAATAAAAAAAGAAAACCATGGTAAAAATGTAACATTTACCAAAAGGAATTGTAAGTTTCCCTCCTAATCAGAAGAGTAATAGACTTCTGGGCAGAGTCATAGACATTTCCTTTATGACCTTTGTTCACCTTCTAGACTCATAGCTGAGCAAGGGTGTGTCCACACCCTATAGCAGTGTGATCAGTGGCCTCTTCTGCATTTTTGGAGTGATCAAAGACACAGGATTAGATTATCTGGTTTCTTCATTTTAAAAAATCTATTGTACTAAAATCTCTTTGGAAAAACAAGGTCATGGTCTGTTGCTTTAATTAATCATGCTATTCACAGAATAGTGGTCAGGATAGAAATAACACATCACATGTTCTTTATCTACCATGGAATAAAGCTAGAAATCATTAACAGAAAAAAATTGGGAAATTCAGGAATATGTGGAAATTGAACAATACACTTTTAAGTAACCAGTAAGTTAAAGAAGAAATCAAAAGGGAAAGTAGAAATTGTTTTGCGATGAACAAAAATGAAGACACGATATGCCAGAACATATGGGATGTAGTAAAAGCAGTATTCAGAGGGAAATTTATTATTATAATGTCTAAGTTAAAAGAAAGAAAGATGTCAAACCAATTAGCCTTCTTTTACACTACAAAACACTGAAAAAAAAGAGTATATGAAACCTAACGCAAGCAGAAGGAAGAAAATAATACAGACTAAAGTGAAGCTTAATTACATAGAAGATAAAATAAAATAGAAAAAATCAATAAAATCAAAAGCTCATTCTTTGAAAATATCATCAAAATTGGCAGCTCTTCTGTTAGATTGACCATTAAAAAGGAATAATTGCTAGCTTCATAAATGAGAGGGGAAATTACTATTGACATCTAAAAATAAAAAGTGGAATTCTAGCAAAAATTGTGTTACTAGAACTGTTGTATAAATTAGATAACAAATGAAATGGACGAATTCCTAGGAAGACACAAACAACAGAAAATGACTCATAAAGAAATAGGCAATTTGAATAAACCTATAACATATAAAGAGATGGAAAAATTAATAAAAAAAACTACCCACAAGGAAAGTTCATGCCCGGATTGTTTTAATGGTGAATTCTACCAGATATTAAAAGAAGAATTAATACCGAATTTTTCACAAACACTTTCAAAAGATAAAAGAATAGGAAACACTTCCAAATTCTGTAAGAAATTCAGACTTGTGCTTCATATTAACCAGGCACAGATATCAGAGAAAAAGAAAACTACAGACTAATATGCCTTATAAATATGGGTAAACATTTTCTCAGCAAAATATTAGCAAACTAAATCCAGCAACATATGAAACAAATTTTATACCAAAGCCAAGTGGGGTTACCCCAGGGATTAAAAATTATGCAGTACACCACATAAATCAAAACCAAATAACATAATCACCTCATTAGATGCAGAGAAAGCACTTGAAAAAATCCAACATGCTTTTGTGATTAGAACAATCAACAAACTAGGAATTGAAGAGAATTTCCTTAACCTGATAAAGGGTATCTATAAGAAATCCGTAGTTAACCCATACTTAATGGCTTATTAGGTTTCCCCCTAAGATTAGGAATGAGAAAAGGATACCTCTCTTATGGTTTCAATTACATATGAGATCTAATCAAAAAGTACAGAATTGGTTCAGGATACAAAATCAGTATGTGCAAATTAAATTGTATTTCTATACATTGCAACAATTCATAAGTAAAATATAAAAAATTAAATTTACCATAGCATCACAAAGAATAAAACAGGCACAGGGATAAATTTAACAAAATTGTAAAATAAAACATTGTGGAAATAATTTAAAGAAGATTTGGATAAATGGGAAAAAAATCCCATGTTTATGGATCTGAAAACAATATTGTCAAATGGTAACACACTTCAAATTGATCTGCAGAAACCTAAATGTAAAATCTCAAACCATAAGAACCTTAGAAAATGAAGGACATACCCTCATGGAAATTGGAACTGGCATCCAATTCCTGAACAAAACCTGAAACCCACGGGCCATAAGAGATAAGATAGACAAGTGGGATCTCATTAAACTGACAAGCTTCTGCAAAGCCAAAGAAACCATCAAGAGAGCAGGGAGACAACCTACAGGCTGGGAAAAAGTATTTGCCAACTCCAGGTCTGACAAAGGCTTAACATCTTTGATCTACAAGGAACTCAAACGTGCTGAAAAGAAAAAAACAAACAAC